GTTGTTCACATACTTGAAAGGCTACGTTGTGCCTCAAGACTTCAAATCTCTTCCCAAGCATGTAAGTCAGCAGAAGTTTCCAATCCTTTACATACCCCACATGCAGTCTAGGTGTGTCCAACCAAAAAATATCCCTTTTGTACGGAAAAAAAAAAAATTATCCCAGTGTTACCCTGTTCTTGTCCTCAGCCCTTGGGGTACTTAAACCATTTGGACAGGGACTCCACTTCTGTGCTCTGTTTTCCCTGCCTGCCCCACTGCTGAAACAGGCACAGGGCAGCAGTGGCCAAGGTGAGGGGAAGGACAGACGACAGCACAGGTGTGTGACAAACTGCTGTGCACATTTAGCTACATTAGCCCTGCAGTACACTTAAATAACAAAAAATTGTGTTTAATAACTGAGAAGCGACGCTGAGGAATGCAAAGCAAGGGCTGAAAAGTAAAGGAAACTATGCAGCAAGGGCAATTACCAGTTGGTTAATAGAAAAAATAGTTAACCTGCATTTACAATGAAAATGGGCACCACCTATTTCTTATTGTCATCCCAGGGTAGTGGGATTTCAGTTAAGAAAAAGTGTATCTGACAGAGTATTACATTTTGCAGCAACAACTTTTCACCTATAGATAACCTAGTCCTATTCATAAACATATTTATTTACTAGTTTCTAGGAAAAAAAAAAAGTCACAGTATCTTCTCATTTTCAGGGGTCCTTTTTATGTCACAGCCTGGAAATCAAGAGGTTGACTGCCAGGAAAATGCTGTGTACCTGAACACCAAGACCACCCAGCCTGACTGAAGCCTTCGGAGATGTCACTGAAGCCCTCAGCAGGTGCTGAAGTTGCTGCAATTGACTTCTCCAATCTCACTGTGATGGCACTGCCATTTACCTACGGACCATTCAATAAACCTGAAGTGGTTTTGAATCATTTGCAACAACAGCTGATCAAACAAGCTTTTTACAAGCCTCGCATTCACCCCACTACGACTGTAACCCCCATTTGTAGCCGGTGAAGAGAAAATCCACAGACAGCGCCCTGAAAAAAGAGCTGAGAGAAATCCACATAGTAAACCAGAGTCTTACACGTGTGCTGATGATTAAATACTGAACAAGTTTATTTTTTGTCTGCCTTCTTGTCACAGAATACTTTTTATAGATTTTCTTTTTAAAATATACATCACCTACAAGTTTAAGGAATCAAGAGTCCTAAAAGCTCCTGGCAACAGGGAGGGCTGGCAGGGCAGCACCCACCGTGGTTCCCGGGACACCAACACTCCCACATACAAACGAGCAACAAACCAAAACACGGCGGCCAATTCCCTCCAGCTGCCCACGGCTCCGCAGTTTTTTCCCTTAAAGGACAAGCCAGCCCGAAATGTGCGTGCCATCAGGATCCTCCATGAGAGCGCATTAACTCGCAGCGCCTCGGACTCTGAAACGCTGCCTGCGGAGGTTTTTTTTTGCTTTCCTAAACAAATGAACGGCTCTGCAGACAGTTTGCAGCAAAGTCAGACAAGTTTAACTACTACAAATTTTGCCTATTCTATTAAGTCCAGCATACCGGCTCCTTACTCAGCACTCCCAGCGCTGGGGGTGCCCTCGCCAGCTTAACTTTTGATTGTCTTAAAGAGAGGGGAAAAACACGTTCAGTAAAGTATTGAAAGCTCAGCGTGCAGACAAGCAACCCAAGAATATCTCAGCACTTTGTACAGCTGCCCACAAACCGGTCTCTATTTTATCGAGCCCCACCACCTGCCGAGCAGGACTATTTCTGTTGTCCTCGTTTCCCCGCTGTTCTCCCCCAGCCACACGCACGCAACCAACATTCCCATGCCGGGCGCTCCAGCCCCAGACATCAGTTGCGGGGAAGAGCAGGTCCTGCCCAAAACCAGCGCCCGCACCTCTGGGGAACTTTTCCCTGCCGTGGCAGTGCTGGGGACCACTCTCCCACTGCCCCAGCCGCAGGGTTTGGGGGCTGTGACACCAGCACCCCCTCTCCAGCTCCCAGTCCAGTCTGGGTTCCCCTCGGGAAGCCCCCGTGCTCTCTCCCACTGCCCCTCCGGAGCCAAACGTCTCCCTGCTCCACTGCCACCACCCTCGTCACCCCAGCAGGGCAGGTCCCAGGAGCCACAGACACTGCCAGGAAAGTTTTTCCTCATCTGCCCCCCCATCCCCTCTGACTACTACCCCTTCACAGAGAGGAGAAAGATTTATGCTTTAAATACATTTTATTTATAACCAAAATTTCCAGAAACCGAATTTGGCATTTTCTCTTTTAATCTTTTGTAAAGATTTTCATGCATAACTTGAAACTTGTCAACTGCAACAATCGAGTGGTAACTTTAAGAACAGAGACAGAGACAAACATCCAGAGTACAAACAGCTGTATCTGAATTAACAAAACTTGTCTATTACTAACCTTATAAAGCAGGACGTGCCTTCCCTCTTATCAAAACCAAGCTGACAGATCTGCCTTTATACACACCCAACAGAATAAACTCTGTTATCGGCAAGGACGTTTTCCTTAAACGTTAGAAAAAAAAAAAAAACAAAGCAAAGAATGGAGCAACTGTCCATAAACCAGTCTGTGCTTCAGTCTTCTTTAATCTACTTCTTCGATGGTGGGGCCACCGGAGCCGCCCGCCCCGGCCCCTCCATCTCCCCGGTACAATTTTGTGACGATCGGGTTGCAGAGTTTCTCCAGCTCTTTCTGCTTGTGCTCGTACTCCTCCTTCTCAGCCATCTGGTTGCGGTCGAGCCAAGAGACCACCTCCTTGCACTTGTCGAGCACCTTCTGCTTGTCCTGGTCACTGATCTTTCCCTTCAGTTTTTCGTCCTCCACCGTCTGCTTCATGTTGTAAGTGTAGGACTCCAGGGAGTTCTTGGCTGCCACCCGATCTCTGTTTGCTTCATCCTCTGCCTTGTACTTTTCTGCCTCTTGCACCATGCGGTCGATGTCATCCTTGCTGAGGCGACCCTTGTCGTTGGTGATGGTGATCTTGTTCTCCTTCCCCGTGCTCTTGTCCACGGCGCTGACGTTCAGGATACCATTGGCGTCGATGTCAAAAGTGACCTCAATCTGGGGCACTCCTCGGGGAGCTGGGGGGATGCCTGTGAGGTCAAACTTGCCCAGTAAGTTGTTATCCTTCGTCATGGCCCTCTCACCCTCATACACCTGGACAAGGACGCTGCTCTGGTTGTCCGAGTAGGTGGTGAAGGTCTGAGTTTGTTTGGTGGGGATGGTGGTGTTGCGCTTGATGAGAGCAGTCATCACTCCTCCAGCTGTCTCGATGCCCAGGGACAGAGGGGTGACATCCAACAGCAGCAGATCCTGCACGTTCTCAGACTTGTCTCCCATCAGGATAGCTGCCTGCACAGCAGCACCGTAAGCCACAGCCTCATCGGGGTTGATGCTCTTGTTGAGCTCTTTGCCATTGAAGAAGTCCTGTAGCAGCTTCTGGATCTTGGGGATACGAGTAGAGCCACCGACCAGCACAATCTCCTGGATCTGGCCCTTGTCGAGCTTGGCATCACGCAGAGCCTTCTCCACCGGCTCCAGAGTGCCACGGAAGAGATCAGCATTGAGCTCCTCGAAGCGGGCACGAGTGATGGAGGTGTAGAAGTCAATGCCCTCAAAAAGGGAGTCAATCTCAATGCTGGCCTGCGTGGAGGAGCTGAGGGTGCGCTTGGCCCTCTCACAAGCCGTGCGCAGCCGCCTCACCGCCCGTTTGTTGCCAGCGATGTCGCGCTTGTGCTTGCGCTTGAACTCTTCCACAAAGTGGTTCACCATACGGTTGTCAAAGTCCTCCCCACCCAGGTGGGTGTCACCAGCCGTGGACTTCACCTCAAAGATCCCATCCTCGATAGTAAGGATGGACACATCAAAAGTGCCCCCTCCCAGGTCGAAGATGAGCACATTCTTTTCTCCGGCCCGGGTTCCTTTCTTGTCCAGGCCATAGGCGATAGCAGCTGCCGTGGGCTCATTGATGATGCGCATCACATTGAGGCCAGTGATGGTGCCAGCATCCTTGGTGGCCTGGCGCTGGGAGTCATTGAAGTATGCCGGCACCGTGATCACAGCGTTCTGCACCTTGCGCCCCAGGTAGGCCTCAGCAATCTCCTTCATCTTGGTGAGCACCATGGAGCTGATCTCCTCTGGGAAGAAAGTCTTCATCTCCCCCTTGTACTCCACCTGCACCTTGGGCTTGCCGCCCTCATTCACCACACGGAAGGGCCAGTGCTTCATGTCTGACTGCACTGTGGGGTCATCATACTTGCGGCCGATGAGGCGCTTGGCATCGAAGATTGTGTTGGTGGGGTTCATCGCCACCTGATTCTTGGCAGCATCGCCGATGAGCCTCTCGGTGTCAGTGAACGCCACATAGCTGGGTGTGGTGCGGTTGCCCTGGTCGTTGGCAATGATCTCCACCTTGCCATGCTGGAATACGCCCACGCAGGAGTACGTGGTGCCCAGGTCGATGCCGATGGCCGGCCCTTTGGCAGACATGGTGTCGGTTCTCTGTGCGCTGCTGCCTCGTCTATGCCTCCCCCGCCCGCTCCCGCTGCCGCCGCGGCGCGATATGCCCAGCCCGCGCCGCCACCGCTCCTTTTATGCCCGCCGCCGCCGCTTCTGGAACCTGCCAGAACCCTGACGGCCAATCCGGACGCCTCGAGAGCCACTCGTCGGCCAATCGTCCCCGCGGTCCGCCGGGCAGCGCCCGCCCCCCGCCTCCCGGCGAATCAGAGACGCGAGCGCGTGCCCCCCCGGCCCCGGCCCCTCCCCGCGGCCGCGATTCTTCCGGGTTTTTCTTGTGCGCCACAGCCCTCGGCCAATCACCGCCCGTTCTGCGTGCTCGCCCCGCCCCCGCCGCGCGCTTCTGCTGGAAAGTTCCAGCGGGGGGCTTACGTCATGCCGAAGATTGACAGCGGCGCTGCCCAATGGCGGGGCGGGGGCCGGGCTGGGTGGCCGCTTCGCTCCGCCCGGTCGGACCCGCCGGGCGCGGGGGCTGCGGGTTCGTGCCCGCTGCCGCCGCCCGCTGCTTGTCATTCCTGAGTGCTCAGCGCCGGCGCTGGGGAATTTACCCTTATTTGGTCGCTGGGCGACACAAATTCCGCCCTCTCCCCCTCCCTCCCATACGCACTCTCCTTCAGCCTCGCCCCGCTTGTGTTAGGGCTGAACGGCCGCCCCCCCCCGGGTGCGGAGACCCCCGAACTGTCATGGCGGAACGTCCCCTACACAAACACACACGCTCCGCGCCCTCCCTCCGTGGCTGAGGGAAAGTCCCGCCGAGCCCCTTTTTAGCCCTATTTCGGCCGAACTTGGGCTGACACTCCCCGGTCTCCGCGGGGACAGCGGGGCCGGTTTGTCCCCGAGCCAAGGGAGCCTCTTGTTGCTGCTGAGGGGCTGCTGCGGGAGGGTACCTGAGGGCAGGGAATGGCACCGGGCTGTCCCCTCCTGTCCCAGCACCACAACTCAGGGAATGGCACCGGGCTGGTCTATCCCGGCATCAGAACTCAGGGTGTAACCCACAGCTCTCCCCTGCTGTCCTGGCACCAGAACTCAGGGAATGGCACCAGTGCGGGATTTGGGGGCCCTGTTGCTGCGTGTTCCTGCGCGGTGACCATTCTTGAAGCGCCTCTAAATTCTTGTCTGTTGTGCTAATGTGAGATGTCGTCACGCCTACGTTTAGCAAAAGCTGTGGAGCTATTAACTCGGAGCTAGGAAAGTGCCTTGATGAAAATATATTAAACATGAAAACCTGCTGTGGTTTCTCCAAATTATTCCTCCTTGCTTTGAGACAAACACTGAAAAATATTCCACTTGTAGTAAGGAGGGCAAAACACCATCCTGAGACCTTTCTTTTTTTTTTCAGGGAGTCTTAGTGAGCTGCTCCTTTTCAGTAGCTGCTTTATAAGTGTTACTAAAAGTTTGCTGCCCTTAGACTTTACAAGGTACATGAGAGAAGGATTAAATTTGCTGTATGATTAAATCATCTTTCATTAGCTTTGTCCCTGGCCCTCAGCACTGTGCTGTAGCAGGCCTTGCAGAAAATATATTACAGCTTTTCCCAGAGTGATCTGTACTCACACAATTGTTACAGGCACTGGAACTCCTGATCAAAAACATCCTTGTTTCCATTAGTGTGTTTTTCAAAGCCTTTTTATAAGAAATGAGGGCTCCACCTCCTTTGTGTATTGTGTGTATGTATTTTTGAGGTGGAAGAGCCTCAGTTTCTGACCATAAATATCGTACGTGCTTAAATAACTATTATTCTTCCACAGATCCTGGTCTTTTTTTTTTTTTTTTCCACACAGGTTCTGACGTTAGAGAAATCCGAAAGAAGTCAATGGAAAATGGAAACCATCGGCTGTCCCCACCTCCGAGAGGAGCTGCTCTGTATATACTATGTGCATATTTCTTTGATGGGAAGGTGTCGGTTTCTCTTGTAGTTAGACCAGTGACTGATTCATCCCTGAACCATCTCTTCCTGTAATTCACTGTTACTTCATTCAGTTGATTGTATTATATGGAGCAGGGAGAAATGCCAGGGCAATACAAAGAGCGGAGGTTGATAAATTCCATTTCAGCTGAAAAGTTTATGTTGTTTATTATTTGTATCCTTGTGAGGACTGTCCCTTAGGAACACTAGTAATGCACAAGAACCCTGTTTTGATAGCTGCAGTACAAACTCAGACCTTGCTATTTCAGAGCAAAAACAGGATTCCTGCCCCAAAAACATGTGTACAGAAACAAAAGATGGAAAGAACAAATGGAGAAAGAAATAACACAACAATATTGATTAGCACAATATGCAGTCTTTGCAGCAAAATTAGTTGGAAGTGTCATTTAAGTATAGCTGTAATCTAACAGGTTTTATCAGATTTAGAAGTGACATTTCATTAATTTGGCCTAAAGCTTTTACCTATGCTTTATTAGCCCAGGCACAAAATATGAGCTCCAGACAATACTTGTTTGGGGTTTCCTTAGCCCAATAACTAGTCTGGCCCTGATATGGTTGTGCTGATACTCAAATGTGCTGATAACCTGCTAAAGAGATGTTTCCAGAGACTGGATTGCTGCTCACCCTGAGAGCATTTTCTCGGTCCTGTTCATTTCATCACTTTAATTGTTTTGTTATAGAAATTTTATGGAAAAGATCTTGAAGGAATGTATGAACACACCAGTTTAATGCCAATGGTGTAAATGAGACACTTCTGGCCATTCTCAGGAAAAATCCAAAGGTCTGTGGACTCAGACTACCAAATATATCATTCAGCCTGTTGCAGAAGTATTTCTTTTCCAGCTGAGTATGCAGGTGCTGTTTTCTTCTTACACAATGATATGTCTAGGTCTGAGCTGTTTTTTAAGCCTTCGTTCCTAATCAGAAGTTCACGTGATGTTCTTCCACTGTCTCTTACTGATGTCCTTAGAGAAAGTCCCGTCTAACGAGAGGGAGCAACCTCTAAAACCTTATTAGACTTATTCTCTCTTCTCAGCAGAGCTATTACCAGCCTGCTTTTTGTCAGCAGTTTGTGAACCAACTCATCCATGCAGTCATCCTCTCATATGGGAAGAGACACATGATTCTCTTTTATGTTGCTTCATATGCAGTCATGCTACAGGTGAGCCAAACCGACTGGTTCGGAAATTAAAGAGTGAGCTTTATGGGGAGGACTTCAGCACAAGTCTGATTTTCGCTTTAAAAAAACAATTGCTGTTATTCCCCCATCCTGAATCTGTGAGCCTTAACTTCCAGAAAAGCAAGTCAGCACCTCTGGAAGTGGCAGGTGCCTTTCTGATCCATTAATTTGTGTTTAGGGTCAATAAAGCACCCCTGTCTCCTGTTTGGCAGCGCTATGTAATACGCTGTAGGCTATTCTCCATTACACCACCCAACCAGAAATGAAGATGATGTGTAGATTTCTTCAGTGAAGCAAGAGCTCAGTATCTGGAGCAGAACTGAGAACTCAACCCTTATCTTTATCTTGATAAAGGGAAAATTTTTCCCCACGTGTTTCATAAGGCAGTGGAGTATAAGAATAGGACTGAACCCAAGTTACAGTTCAATCAGACATCAGCCACACGGATCGTTACAATAAAGTTGAAATGGTCTGTTCAGGTGTGACAGTCAGAAGATCTTGGACCTTAAATTCTGATATCCATTTCCCTCGTATCCATTTCTCTAGAAAAACTATCCAGAAAATTGCATAAGTCAGATTGTATTGGTGAAAATGAATTATTTTATAATACAGCAATCAGTTCAGAAAAGTCTAAGCAACTGCTGTTCTAAGAATGAATAATACTTTGTCATAATACCTTTTCATCACTGAAATTCTTCATCTCACTTATATTTGCAAATGTATGTATACTACTTGGAATTCAGACAAGAACTACCGGTGTATAAAATGACAAGGTTCTTCTGACAAGGTGTTGCATTAAAAATCATATTTACGTGGGGGGAACTATGTAACTTATCTTGTATTTATGTACCTTCAGGTTTTGTGTGCAGCTGCTCCTTGTTAATTTAAAAGGCAGCCACAAGACATGATCTTTCTTAAATAAGTGTTCCTTTGTTTTTGTGAATAACAAACAGAGTTCTCCAAATCTCTATAACATGTTTTTGGCAAATTACGCAAATGCATGATTAGTACTATGGAAGTATTCAGAAGAGCAGAATATAGGGCACTGTAATTTCGTACTGCCAAACCAGGAGTTCAAAAATCATGAGTCAGATATCTGAAAATTATAAACCTAGTTTAAAATTATGAGCTTAAAAAACATATGTGGCTTTGTTCACCTTCTGGCTTGTTAATCTTTAGCATATGTTCAGATTACACTTTTAGGATTTTCCATGTAATTGGCAGATCTAATTTTTTTTTAATACATAAAATAGCTGATTACACCATCTCACAACTGAAACCAGGCTGCCGCAGGTTGATTAGACTCAATAAAATCATGGAAGTTGTCAACACTGATTAAACTACTGCTTGATGTTTCAAGGAATAATTATTTTATAATTAAGTGGTTTTAAAGCGCATTTATTTACACAGACTTCTGACAGTTTGCTGAGGCATGATTAAAAGCTGAGGTTAGTATCACTAGTGCTAACTAGATAAACTGGTGTGCTGTGCATTTAAGAGAGTCAGTTCTTTATTCTTTCCTGTAACTGCAGTCTCCTTTTCTTGCAGTCAGTGCCAGCTCTACTGACAGTCATAACCAAGTGATTTTAAAGCAGAAAGTTTGCAAGTAATCACAGAATCAGATCAGAAAAGGACCTCAATAGGTCACTTAGTCTCATTTTGTGTTTAACCAAAATCTCCTTTCTTGCAATTTAAGGCAATTATTTTTATTCATATTGACTGTGGATATGAGAAACAGTTGTGCTGTTTTTCTTTGCAACCAGCTTTTACATATATGAAAATCACTGTGTTTTCCCTCCACCATCTCTTCTGTAAAATTACTTAAAATCATTCAGCCTGTGCTCAGGAAAGAAAAGTTTTCTGTTTTCAGACATTCATTGCTTTCTTCTGGATTCTCTGCATGCACCCTGTATCTTAGTTTTCAAGTGCTATGATCAAAACTGGAGACATCACCAGCTCATGCCTTTGTGGTTCTGAAGGAGCAGATTTATACCCCAGTTTAGACATTTCAGCTTTCACCTTTTTTTTTGCAACAGCAGGATGCTGCAGACTCATTTTCAGACTCATTTTCAGAATTGATTGAGAATAACCCGTCAATTCTTTTCCAGGGAAATCGAGAAGGTAGATTTAGTTTGGATGTAAGGAAGAAATTCTTCACTATGAGGGTTGGGGAGGCCCTGGCACAAGTCACCCAGAGAAGCTCTGGCTGCCCCATCCCTGGAAGTGTTCAAGGCCAGGTTGGATGGGGCTCTAATCAACCTGGTCTAGTGGAAGGTGTCCCTGCCCGTGGCAGGGGGTCATTAAGGTCTCTTCCAACCCAAACTATTCTGTGATTCTATGCAATTAAGGCCCTGTTCCTTTACTTGCACGTCTTATAATTTCAGCTTGCACTTGTTCCTATTAAATAGTATCTTACGTTTTCAGATCACTAGGATTATTTTGAATTCTAATCTTATCTTTTAATGTACTTGAATTCTGCTTGGTCTTGTTGGAAGATATTAAAAGGATACTCTATATAGTCCAGGAGGGGAATAAATGAAACTGAGAATTTTATCTAGAACTGCTGTGATAGGGTTAAAACAATAATTGTTGGCAGTAACTGTAAAACTAAAAAATGATGATAAATCTTAAACAAGGGAAACAGTGTACTGTAAACACAAAGACCAATACTTCATACTCAGAGATCATTACAGTGGGATTAATCTCTCAGATTTACTTAAACGCTTAGTGTGAAGAATTTTCATAATAACTGAGCTGTAGCAGGGCTATAAATTTTTCTTATTTTTTTATTCCTACGATTATTTGATTTTTTATTCATCTCCGTTTTCCCTCTTGTCATTAGCAGGTGAATGGGAAAAACACAGGAGCAGATGAAGCAGGTGGTAACTGGAACTTCACTCTGTTGCCAGGACTGTTATAAACTCAGGTATAAGATGGAATTAAATGAGAATAATAAGCAGATTTGTAAGATTATTTTATTAAAGATACTGTAGCAAAGCACAGAATAAGCTTTAAAGATTATGAAAACTAACTTGGAATGTCTTTACTGATACTCTACATAGACTACAAGTAATTGCTGAGTTACAGAAGAGTCACAGCCTGTTCTAGGTGTCCTACACTTTGTATACTGTTGAAGGCCTATCTTTAGGTGGTGCTATAATATTCCTTTCTCTCCTCTGCTTCGTGGTGGTCCTACCATGCAGGTCCTTCCTGTTCTCTATGGAAAGGACATCCCATTTTCATTTAGATTTCCCAGCTATACTGTGCCTTCTCCCTACAGAGTCCCCAATGGTATCTGGCTTTGCCCAGATATTCAGTCTTCCCCTTTGCTCCATAAAGCCACTAGGACAGAAGTGTCAGCATTCCAATACTGCACTGAAGGCTTTTAAAATGCCTATATTAATGTTTAAGATGTTATGTGTTAATAGAGCTGATGCCTTCAACATCTTTGGGGGCTATGTAATTAGATTAAGCAACCACATTCAAAGATACCTGAACATCTTTTCTTGCATTTGTGTAGCAACTTTATAAACTATAAAAGAGTAAATCAAGCACAGACACATGCCCTATACAAGCTGCAATACAGACAATATTGTACACACTTTGTAACAACAGTAATGAAAATGATGCCAAATATAAATAAAATTATAGACAGACTCTTCTTGAGATAACAGTTATAGTGAACAATGAAACATCCTTTTATAACCATGAGTAGAATTAATAAGATGCGTAACTACAGCAGAATATAATCAGCATGTTTAGTCTGCTTACATGTCTTAATTTGATCCACTGTTGTTTGGGGGAAGCAAAAGAAATTAATATTTTTTCTAATCCATGCTTGCCCTAATTTGAAACATTTACTGCCTTAGTGGTCTTTTCGTTAGGTTTGGGGGTTTTTTCCCCCATTAATTTAGCTGGAAACATTAGGATTCTTAAGATGTTCAAATCTGAACATGAATGCCTGATTCTCCTCTTCAAGCCAGCTTTTGCAAGGCTTAGATGCAGAACACCCTGTGCCCTGTGAAGATTATTTCACATTTATTCATCTCCTTGTTGGTAAAAACTTTTCACCATTCTTGTAATAAGACCAGAGCACCATTTCTTTACTTTCCACATACAAGCACTGTGCTGCGTGGAAGGTCCTCTTCAGCTTGCAAATGATGATCATGGCAGCAGGGGGAATCAGGTCAGCTGGATCTCTCTCACCATCCTGTCCTTCCTCAGGGCCCCTCTGTCCTCAGTTTTTAAGATTTTTTTTCACCTTGTACTCTTTTCTTTTTCTCTTTTTTTTTTTTTTTTTAACACTTGATAGTTTAGCATTGTACATGAGTATACACTTGTAATGTTTAAACTAAAAAATCTAAACAGTTTTTGACAGCAGCTCTAAGAAGCCTCATTTCAGAAAAGGAGCACTCCAGCACATGAATAGCAAATTCTGCAAACTCATTTCAGTGCAGCCCTGAACACCTGGCATCTGCCTGTTTTGGCTGTCTGCTCCAGGAAAGACCAAATTTGTTTGTAACAGGTGTAAATAAGAGTCACAAGGAAGTAAGTTTTATAATACAGAGAAGAGTCCAAAACAACTTTTACTGCATGTTCTAATTTGACTGCTTTGGTGCCTTTTGCGACTGCTGCAGTGTGTCAAAAAAGCAAAGGTGGTGCCAATTCAGATCTGGCACACGTGGTTCTGAGTTTTATGAAATCTTTTGACGACCAGTTCTTCCTCATGTCTTCTTCAAACCTGGTTCTCTCAGTTGTTCAGAAGCTTAGAAGTCCCTATTTCACTACTGCCATGCAGAAAAGAAATGCAAGAAAAATATTAAAAGTCAGAAGCCCGCACTGCAGTACTGTATTTGCTAGCACGATGTGGTCCCTCCCACCTCACCATGTGTGGTTTTACTCTAAATACCCATCCTTCAGTTATATTCAGAGCACCCACCACAGTCAGGAGCTCTTTTTAAATGCCATACAGTTCATTTCCTTCAACCCCTACCCCACCAAAACACAGCCTTAAACAATGTTGTGATATTGTTTCAGGAACTTGTTTCTTTCTCCTTTGCCTTCCATTTTCAAAACAGCTAAAGATTTGCTGAAGAAAACCTTCACTTCCCAAACCTCACAGAAGTTATTTTTGATACTGTGTGTGTTACTTTCCAGCAGTGGTTTATGGCTTGGCTTAGTGGATGCTCAAAAAAATTGCAAGAGTGCAATTTCCCTTAAGCTTGAACTTCTCATAGCTTGGAACGTGCTCACTCTGGAATACTTCTTACTGCTTCATATTTGCTTTTATTTTTGGTTGTGGGGTTTTTTTCCCTTGCCTAACTGCTATGTATTTACTTAGCCCCCTTCCTCAAATTCTTATTTTAGGTTAAAAGCAGATAAATTATACAAGTATTTAAAATTTCTGTCCCTTTTGACCAAAATATTTTATGACAAATACGAGCAGCTTTGTATCCGATACGAACAATCAAGAAATTGGAAATGCATGAATGTAACTTTTGAGGACATGGGGGTTTTTTTGGTACGCTTTTTTTCTGTGGATATGTAAATCACATTGTACAAAGTACACGACTGTTCCACTTCTAATTTACACCTGATGTTTCTATGCACACTGTGGCACTCCTGGACCAAGTGGTTATGTCTACACTGCAGAGCAGGGCAGGCTTCAAGGCTGCACATGAAGCCAGGTTTATCGGCTCTCTGCATTACTTACCTGCCAGAGCATCCTCAAGGCCAGCTCAGGGCTGAATTTCCTGGCACACCTTTGAGGGGAGTGGTGCTCCACACTTGGTGTGCACTGCAGGGAGCCCCGTGTGACACATGGCCAGGCCCTCACCCACAGCATGTGCCAGGCCCAGGCTGCTCTGTGTGTTCTACTGCCCTCTGTGCCATGTCACACACTTGGTGGTGGGCAAAAAAGCAAACTGGGACAAAAGGCTTTTGTTTCCTGCCATGAGGGTGATGTCAACGGGGGAAGCAGGCCTTGGGCAAACTACTACTGTCAAAGTACTGCTGGTTCTGGTGGCAAATCCATTTGTCTACCTAACACGTTCTTAAAATCTTGGAGGGGAATTCACTGGACCGATGCTGTTATCGCAAAGTAGCTCTTATATAACTTGCTCAAAAGCCAGGAAGTACCTCTTTTCTCTGTAAACTAACAAAGGAGAAAAGCCATTCTAACTACAGTATGCATGTGAGCATTATTTTTGCCCGGGCAAACATCAGTGTTTAGCATTGCTGTTTATTAGGATGCCAGCCTGCCATTTTGCAGTCAAAGATCTCTGTTACTTGCAGATCACACACAGCTCACGCACACAACTGAACTTCATTACACCACCACCCTCAGACACATTGACTGTGCTGTGTGGGACCACCTCTGAGTGCAGGAAGGTGGGCTGACTGTGAATATTAAATATTTTTCCAATGAGACTGCAAAATACTGCTAATCAGTGCCAACTGCGGTGGGGTGGGGTGGTGAGCACACAGAGCTGCTGGCACTGCCGACAGCTTGCAGCCCACAGCAAGACAGATTAGAGGTAAAACGTTGTGCCCTCCTCGCAGGCTCTAAAATCCCCCAGCTGTGCTAAGAACGGAAGCTGTTTTGGGGATTCACAGCTGCAGGAGGATCAGCTTCACCCTCCTCTCAGCAAGCGGAAACGTTCGAGCCTTTGGAATGGGAACATGCGCGTTCCCAGCGAGCCACGAGATGGCACCCACAGCCCCATTCCCCGTATCCCTGAACATCTGCAGAATTCCAGCCCTTCGGAGAGGTTACAGAGGATGCAGCTCCTTCCACTTCATCAAAGTCGGAGGAAGCCTGTGATTAGCTGGATGTTTACAAATAAAAGGAGGATCTGGAGACAGATCAAAGAGAACTCTCCAGATTTGGCACAGATACCATATATTGTGCTCACAGCATCTGCACGGGTTCAACTGTTACATGAAGTGGCTGAACTTGGTGTATCTCATCATATATTAAAAATGCTTTTTAATGCTTAGTGCATTTATTAGAACTCTGAAGAGTCAGCCAGCTAAGGACCTGACAAAAACGAAAAAACACCACCTCCCAACTAACAAGATCTTACAGGCTCTATTTAAGAGAATCACCCACTGGGTTCTTCCTCACCCTGCTTTCTGCAGTGTAAAGGGAATCAAGAAGCAAAGCACTGTTCCAAAATCCAAAGGCTGTAGTACTTCAGACTCAGTAAACAGGAGCAGTAGCACTCAAAGCCTGTTCTCCAGCGATCTAAGTAGTTTGGCTGGCCCAATCACACCATATATGCTCTTCCCTGGAAAGTCTATAGTTCATCCAGGATCTGAGTTACTTTGGCACAGCCCAAATGACTGGGGAGAGAAGCAGATGGGAGATAAAAGATGTGGTGTGTGAACTACACTGAGTTAATGTATATCTGTTCTAAGGGACATCTTTGTTTTGACTCTGTGTAACAAACCAACATAGCTTGTGAGGTCTGGAAGGCCACACTAGACTATTCCTACTCTCATAGTAGTGCTCTGTTTGAAGTTGGTATTTCTATTTGGGGTCTAAAGCCACACTGAACTTGATCAAATAAACATTCTCCAAAGAAAACTGCCTTTGAACTATTTAACTCTTTGTACAGCAAACTAAAGCTGAAAGAACTGTAACAATCACTGTCAGATCTCTTGTGTCTTAGAGCTGAGTTGTTTTCCAGTTTTTAAGTTACTGTTCATCAGGACCTGTGTCTTCTCTGGCAGAACTGACTGTGGTAGCAACAGTCACTAAAATCTGAGTGAAACACAACCCTGCCTGAAAGCAGACTAGATGGGGTTAACCCTCAGACTTGCAGGCATGCAGACTGTGTCATATTTTACAGCATATGTAAGTGTACACAACTTCTATTTAATCTACCTGATAACAATGCAGCACAGATATCCGAGCTCTCTCCTGGGCTGTGGGGCATACTAAGACAATTTCTTCATCAGCTCCAAGGGATCCTGCCCTGTATTTTCTCTTCCTCCAGTGCTACTGTATTTATCCTTTTCCCGAAGGAGGGATATTTTAGATTCTGTCTCTTAAAATATCTCTACTTTGCATAATGGCTAGAGAACCTCAGCAGTTTGGTAGCTGGGACTCTCTACCAGCAGGTTCCAGTAGGAAACCCATAGGGAGAGAGAGAACAGAGGCATCATCTTTAGCATCCTGAATAAATGCTCTAACGACGACTTGTGTAAAAGGGAGGAGCGTAACCGATACCAGAAGTCTGGTGTATCTGCTGCCAAAACCAAAAGCAATCTATGGTATTCAGCAAACTCTATTTTTAGCCAGCGTATCTGCATTTCCACAAACTTTCATGGTCTTTGTGGCTTTTGCCATGGAGAGAAGGACCTTATGTTATTTCTCCCATTCATTTTCTGGGGAGTCAGAAGCAGAAGTCCCACTGGTGACCATCCGCAATGTAGTGGGATGGTTACCTAAAAAGGAGAGAACAGGTATTACTGAGTTGTGTAGGTTCAACTGAACAGGTGAGAACTATTAAAAAAGGCAAGTTCTTAGCCCTAGTCATTGCTTTAAAACAGGAAGAACGCAAAGCTTCCCATTACAAAAAAAAAAAAAAAAAAAAGAAAGAAAAACAAAACAAAACAAAAAAAAACCCAGAAGGCAAATAGAAGAGTCAAAAGGATGAATTTTTAAAAGAGCAACCTTGTCATCAGGGGAGATGGGGGAGAAGAGAGGGCAAAAGACTGAGTTTTGCATCTTTCACGTTGGCAACACTGCTGCTGCAGAGACCTTGGCAATGGCTGACACTGGTGGCACTTTGCCTGACAGACAAGTTGAGAAACCAAGGATTTACAACAGTCCTGATTTCCAGTGGATTTTCTACAATCCACACAGCTTCCAGGATTTGGAGGCCTTTAAGGAATGCTATCTTCTCACTGCCTGTCAGGAGTCTTGTGATATCGACAGAACCACAGGACACACTTATCTAAGATCATGTCTTATTTGCAAACAAAAAAAGTACACCCCAAAATCTCATTGATGCAAATCACCGTTGAGTTTGAGTGAAAACAACAGCAGCAACAGGACTTTGTCAAAGAGGAAAATTCTTGAACTATTTTATTTTTTTCTCCCACCGGAAAGTCTAGATGCAGCATTGTTGTTGTGGTTGTAGCTGCAGGAAGATTTATTATGGTTTTAGTAAGCCAGAAGGCACAGGAAAGGATTAAACCTTTTCATTTTCCTGCAAGGGAATCAAAGATATTGACCAGGTCTGAACATCGAGGTTCTCAGGGTGAGGTGTGCCACGCTGGCTACACAAAGCAGACAGTTAAAACCTGGCCTTGGACCACCTGCTGCTTTCTCATCTCATAATTTTATTATGTTCCCTTGAATACATTAATATGAAACTTTAAAAACGTATTTCCAACTACTCTTACATAGGGAATGTGCATGAATGACTGAAAACAGTTTCTCTAAAAGCATGAGGCAAAGTATTGTTTTCCTGTGTCTTTAATTTAAAAAAAAAAAAAAAAACAAAAACCAGAATCCACCCTACAAGACATTTGAGAGCAAAAATAACTGAAACAAATATCTGATAGCTTTTCTCCTGTAGAACTGGCACTGGTCATTCAAGTATATGAAAAGGAACATGGGGCTGTTTGTTTCAGGGATGAATATTTATAGTCACGATGAAGTGACTCCTGAGTCATGAGCTCTGTTGCCCTGTTACAAATTAAGATTTGTCTTTCTTCATGAAAAAAAATAAAATCACAATTAATTCCAGAATTGTAGAAGCAACTGTAAAAGTGGCAAAAGACACTTAATTTATAAAATGTGTGCTGATTTCTGCCATCTTTCCCCTACAAAATCTCAGCCTACTCACATGTCTCAAGAATACACTGCACAGCAAAATTTTAGGAGTTTTCTGGAAGCTGGAAGAAAATACACAAAACTAGTTCATAGCCCAGAACTACAGAAATGTCAGCTTTTAAAAACATGTTCCTAATTTCTAGCCTTCAGCAGACTTTATAAAGTCAAATTAGTCATGCTTCATCTTGTAGGTCTTCCAAGTCTGTGAGAAGCGTCAAACCAACTGAGAATAGGGAAGTCAGAAGATTTGATTTTTAGCCGTTTCAGATTAAGATGTACTTAAAAGTCAGGAGCAGGCACACGGGGATAGTAACAGATACTGCCAAGCATCTCCTTAATTCACACACGGAATCATCCTGAGCTTCCAGTATCAGAGCAAAAATGAGATGACTTTCTCCCCTTACGAAAAGCAGTGAGAGGCAGAGGGCACAGCAGGAGAGCTCCACAGCTGCTCCTGGGCCCACAGCTGGAGGGCATGAAGGCCAGAGGAAGGTGGGAGCCATTCCTGGTGTTTGGCCAGACAAGGGGCCCAGCTCATTCCTGGCCCCAGGCCAGGCCAACCACACAAACCCAGTGGCGCGGAGCACTACACAGCCTGCTTCAAGGAGGACTGAGAAAGCTCCAGAGCATATTTGTGGGATGAGCTGAACGCAGGAAGGTTTCCAGTTCTCACGAAGAGGGCAGATAGCAGAGATGTGTCTCATTTGTAAGAAGCTGGGCTGCCTTTTTCCTTATCAGGAAACAGGACATGAATGTAAGAGTTCAGCTTCCCCGAGGATGCTTGGGGGAGACAGAGGCCGAGTTAAACTCGGGACAAACTTTGAGTTCTGGTACAGCTTGTTTAAGCAAACGAGCCCCCTCCCAGCCACTCATTCCTCCTCTCGTGCCACCCCTTCTATTGTGCTTGCACAAGATCTGACACAGAGATGGAGAGGGAAGCACAGCGGGAAACTGGTCCAGCCAAAAAACAGCCCCATAGGGAATAAAAAAAAAGCCCATTTTTTGATTCAGTTCATTGTGAAGCAACATAAATATGTGCTTTTTTACAATGGAGAGGGTGGCACACAGGGGATATGAGAGCTGAAACTAATGGGGAGGAAGAAGGGGCTGCCAGGGCTCAAGGTGGCACTGCCTCCAGGAGCAAACTCATGTCCTCACCAATAGCTGAGACTCTTGATGGTTTTGCACTAGAGTATTCAAATGCAATGCTGTAGTAAAACTTTTCACATTTATAACAATGTATTTTTAATATATTCTCCAGGGCAGTACATTTTCTGTCTTCAGCTTTGATTAAAAAATATGCTGACTTGTATTTTCACCATCAATTGAAAATATTAAACAGGGAAGAGCCCTAATAAAAGCCTCAATTCTTAGAATTCTGTGATGTTCTAATCTATTCAAATCAAGATTTCTCCACAGACCTGGCTACAAATATCATTATACACAAATGTAAATACTATTTGAACCAAGAAGTTGCCAACAAGCATTTACAAGTATATCTATATTAACATTTGAAAAATCTCCTCTGAAAATGAGAAAGAAGTGCAACAGCTTTTGTGATATTTTAAAGCTCATTCTAGGTTTTCATTAACTCCCTTTTTTTACCTTTCAGTTAATCCTGAAAATTAAGAGCTAGGCTGGATACTTATAAATTATTTTCAGGGTTGCAGCCCACACCACTGCCAAAATGAGAAAAACAACAGAACAGAGAGAAGGCCTCCAAAAACAAGAAAAGCAAATCACTTAAAAATATAAGTTAGAGAAATTTTTTGTTCTGGCTATGCCTTGTGCAATGTGATACACTTACACCTCCAGTTCTAAAGATCCTTAACTGCTTTAACACTCTAACACTCCCCACAGTGCACTAAGGAGATGCAAAGGAACAATGTTATGTGACTGAAAAGTACAAATTAGAGGAAACAGAACTCTAAATGAAATATTTTTGCTTCCCTTCAAGGAACAGCAAAACTTCTAGGATATCATAACTGCCACTGGGGTTTTTTTTCATGTCTGCTTTCATTCTGTCTCCACATTAAATCATTTTTAACATGGTAGGAGCATTGAAACACCATCACTTCACTCTCCTGAGGATGCTGTCCCCATTTGGGGAAGAACACAGGACTGACCAGCCCAAGGCTGCCTCAGCACCCAGGCCTTCTCCCCATTCAAAGCAGCTGAATTCCTTCTGTCACTCCTGGCCTTTTCTTTTAACTGCCATTCTGTTCCCCTGCACACTTTTACATGTCATCTTAAACACTCTCCCCATTCACTTGCAAGCCAGGCTTACTTGTTTATGCCTTAGTACCTTTGATTTATTCTCCTATACTGCCCTTGATCACTCCTCAGGCTACTTCAGTCATTCTGATTTTCTCTGCCTACACATAAGTAGATCTGCTCCTAAACTTCCCTGCAGTGTAATTCATGCTCTTTTGTGAGTCTCAGTCTGGACATTTATACATGTGAACTCCAAGGTTTTGTTTCATTAGAACAGGAAAAAACCATCAAGTTCAGTTGGAAAGGTTTAACAAACTTATTTTGTTACTACAACACAGCTTATAACTGAAAACAAAGGTACTCCAGGGTGTTTATAAAGTTAGGTAGTACACATAAATACCATCATTCCCAGTTCCTCCATTTAACTTCTGTAGTTGGCAGGTCTACTTACACTAGGAAGTCACTTTTTCTGGGAAACATTTCTGGGTCAAGTTCAGACCAATACACTGTAAACAAGGGCACC